TACACGTAATAAAATTTCTTCCACAATAGTATTTAAAAGTCCATATAAAAGTATAAAGATTACATACACGTGGGAAAATAATATCACTCGATGACCACATACCACGTGCAACATAATCTAGCTGACACAGAACCGAGCAAGTACTTAAGAATAACACAAACATTTCGTAGAAAGTGATACGTCATAAATGATGACCTTTTACGATTAGTCTTGTCTAACAAATAATTGTGATTAGAAATACCTATTGTCTTTGACTTAAAGAATTTCATATAACATTTGCTATATAGATAAATGACATAAATGGATTACTCGGTAAATGAGAATTAGTCACTGATAATGAAACTATTAATCACGAGTATTAAATAAATTTCTAAAAATCTTGATTATACTAGCACTCATAAATGAATTTTTTTTAAACAGCTATAAACAAAATGTTCTTCATTAAAATTATATCTTATACTAAATAAATTAGCCTACAATTTAATAATTGTAACAGGAATCACATAACCCAGCTTAATATTTAAGTTAATGCGTCCATCATCTTAGCATAATTTATTCTCCACACTACAAATTAGTATTCAAGGAATACTAGCCAAATTTCCTACCAGATCATGGAAAAAACGAGGGGTTGTTAGATTTATGCAATGCACACTGTAGGCAGACAATATCGAAGACATCTAACCGCTTTTTGAACGGTGGAAACACATTTTCCCTCGGATACACGTTTCGCTAATGCGAATGGAGACTAAACGATGACAGCATGTCGGATATTTTGAAGGCACACAAGATTGCATCGAAGGGAAATGATATTTTCCCGTGGAGTCGATGGGGGATAAGGGAGGCAATATTTCCCGGTGCAGAAGGGGCCACCATGGAACCCATCAGCAAACCGTACGAGTCTCCTCACCCTCGAAAGAACCTAATCTTTCGTAGACGAGGGACAGTCACGCCAAGGGGCAGAGGGTTGAAACCACCCTGCAGATTTGAAAAGTTCGTAAAAGGGAACGCAGAAGCTCGAGGAATTCGCGTGTAAACGGTGCCTGTTCGTACGGTTGCTTCTCTTATCGAATTCCATGGGGTTGCCACGATTTCACCAATTTTTAAAGCGTACGTGAAATGCGCGTGAAATGAACAACGGCGTAAACAATGGGAGAACGGAATTGTGCGGGAACCTGAAAATGTTGGGTCGAGACGAGAATTTTTCTGAGAGGATTCTTCCTACGTGAAGATTCGACATTTGGATATTTACGTATGAAAGGAACTGTAGATAATTTTTTGATTATAAAAATTATATTAGATTTCAATTGTATCAAACTATATTGAGCAATTTTTTGATTATATAAATTATGTTGTATCAAAGGATTTTATATACATACAACTTACATCTTAACGCTAAAACTTCCAAACCGGTCAAATGACAGCTCCACAAGTTTCATGTTATAAGGTACACATTTTGTTAAAATACATTCCTTGAAATCAGAATAGATTTTCATCAAGATAAAGAATAAATGTGTGTACTAATTTATGTTTCGTCGTTTGTTTATTTATTTTTTAACTTCATTTTTAATTTCAAATTAAATACACTTTATATGCCGGTAGGTTTAGTGTTAAAATTGTTAACTCAATCTCTAATGTTCATATTCCTGAAATGCCCTAAAGATCAATGAATAACAAGTCTCTTTTCACTTAATTGTCATATTTTCTCAACATAAGCCATATTTTTTTAGGAAAATTACAAAAACCATTCGCATTTTTATTTTACTGTACTGACTTTTATCCGTTGAACGAGGTAAATATATATTGAAGTCTATTTTCTTCAATAGCTTTGAAATATTGAAATTTGCTATGTGGAATACCTATCTCTACGGATGTGCGTCAATTTCACGCGATGGTAATGTAAATAAAATTTTTAGTAAATTAGTTTTACCCAGGCAAAAATTACAACAATAATAAATATGAATGCACCGACAATACCTTATAAACGACGGACTTCGCTAGCCCGGGGTCGCACGCGGCCGATTCAGTCGGTATGCCGGGTTCGGACCCGGGGTCGCAGTACAAATCGCAGTTCGCAGGGTAGAGGGAAGTAAAAATATGAATGTAGAATATTGAAGTAATGTACTAAAATATTATCGAATAATAAAAACTATCTATAAATATCTCATATTTTCATTTCTTACTTATAGTGTTTAATTATATTCTAAGTGGTTGTTTTTCTTTAATATGTATTTGTTCGTGCGTCAAATTGACGCGTGTTCGTAGAGATAGGTATATAACGTCCGTAAACCCTAGTGTTAATCCCAAGGAAAATCCGAAGTTAAATTAAACTTTTACTGCACTCAAAATGTGCCAACAGATATATGGGGCTGTTTTCGTTTACCTGAGAGATGGATTAACAGGAGGGATTTGAATAAGTAAAAGATTTGAATAGGAAAAATCTCCTGAAATACTGAAATAATCCCGGATAAACAAATACGTTGCTTTCACGTTTCGTCCAAACTACCGCTTTAAGGAGATACGAATTTCAAATTGGAACGTGCTTATCCTCTCTCGTGGTACATACAGGGTTTCTCTCGTGCCTGACGTTCAAGGTAAATATGCAAGTGGAGTTATTCAAAAATTCCTGTGAAGCCTCGTAGTGGTACAATTGCATTTGTATACCGAAGTATGTACGTAGAAATCTCCTTTGACGCAAACGTGACGCCTCTTAATATTTTCAATATTTATGCGATATATTGCGTCGAGCTAATACTGCAACTACCTAAAATGGCTGCTTTCAGGTTTTGTATTTTATGTTACAAGATTTTATTCTCTTCTCGAGATTTTACAAATTTTGAAATTTCTGAATTTTTAGATTTCTAAATACCGAATTCTCAAATTCTTTAATTTTGTCATTTTGTAATTTTTAAATTTTCAAATTTTGTAATTTTAAAACCTTCAATTTTTTACATTAATAAAATCCAAAATTCCCATAATAATTTAAAAAGTTACAAATTTTCGGCACAAATAAAATTCGATAAATTCTATATTTTCTTATTTCCCCATAACGAATTACGCGGTGTCTGCTTTCGCACGTTATTCGACCGGTCCGCGCATAATAGCTCTACCGCACTCATCGCGATACATCGTTTAACCTCGTCGGTTTAAAAAGTACGCGCGGAATCAAATTAGCGAATGTAAATTGGGCAAACTTTCCTCGGCTTCTCAATTCATTCGGCCCTCGACCCAGCTGAATTCTGAGCTAGGTTAATTTTCTTTCTGCGCTGACCATGGCAGTGTAGCTAATTCCAAAACGAGGACACTAGGAACGTTTTCAAGCACGCCACTCGGCCCGGAATCGTAGCCCGAAGGTGGTCCAAGTGTTTCAGCGATCCGGCAAGTCCATCGAGGCTAACTGCACTTTACCACGAGGACTTCAAGTGACGTGTTTCGAGCACCGGAGTGTTTGCCGCGGCCTCATTCCTTCCTCGATCTTCCTTGCCCGCGAATGTCCCCCTTTCTTCCCTCTTCCCTAATGTATATGCGTCGCAGCGTCGGCAATATTTAGCGACGATTAATGGGAACTTCATATCGTTTCAAGTCTTCATGTTTATAAGTGGACACTGATCGTGTAAGGTCTCGATATGAGAGAATCTCTCCGGTTTCATCTTTCACTTGTATCACTTATTTCCTGTATTCATTCAAGTTTGAACGTAGAAAAGGACAACGAACGATAGAAACGCCGAATGTAAACGAAGACGTCCGAACGCCGAACGTAAACGTCCGATCGAACGAACGCAGATCAACACATCGGTGAAACAATCTTAATGCAACAATAAAACTATTTCTTTCCAATTTTTTTGAAATGAAACTTTTACCAAAATAGTTGTGGCATTTTCCTGATTAAAATGACACCACACGTGATGTAATTCGGAACATTTTTACTTGTAATTCTTAGTATTCAGCTGGATCAAGATTTAATGTAATATTCGCGGTAAACGAACGAGCAATGACACTTCGGATAATTTCGTTTTCGTTCGGCGCTATTCGGAGAATCACGTGATACGACAGTCTTCTATGGTTGGAATTTCTACAGTTGAAAAAAGCGGTACAGATTATACTAAAGTTTCAAAACAACCTTTCGATCTTTCACTTATTATTTAGTGAAAAATGTACGTAGAAATTAAAAACTATATATTATTATATCGATATAAACTTGAATCGCGGTCTATGTCTATAGGTATTGTATTCTAAGACTTAACACTCTTTCTATTTCTGTGTACCCTTTTGTTACGCTTTCGAGTCACCGAGGACCGTCGAGGAAGCCAGTTTATCACGGACGTGTGCGTCGCACAACTTCTTCAGGGTAGCATCGTTTTTCCCTCGACTCGGCTTTTCCACGTGCGGATAACTTTTGTGGATACCCCGCATTATCGTCCTCTCGTCTCCCCCTGTGTCTGTCTGTTTGTTCTTTACGCTGTGCACGCGCGCCGAAAAGGGGTGACGCTCGCGAGACCGGGACGGAGGTAAACATCAAAAGAACGAGAACATGGCATACAGAGGTAACGAAAGAAAAATAAAACGAAAGGATACGAGGGGCTAAACGCGGACCACGGGGTTAAATAGTTTCAGAGGCTGCCTGTGAAAATGCTACGATTGACCCCTCTTGGACCATGACTGTGAAACATGACTCAGGAAATGCTGGAAAACTGCATTTCTTCAACCTTTTTCTGACTAATAATTTCTGACTGATTCTAGAAGCTCTGATGAATTTGAAATCAGAACATTCGTTTGTTAAATTAAATTTTTGTATTACAATTAATATTATATTTTATATTTTTCTTTATTTTAAATATTATGTATTTTAGTATATATTTATTTTATGTTATATATTTTGTATATTTAATATATTAATTTATATATTTTATTTTATATATATTAATAAATACTATGTACTATAATGCAAACATGGTATTATAAAAATAAAAATACCAAGATATATTATTTTTTTACTGAAATACCTTGCAATGACTGCATATGTCGTTAGTCGGTGTCTCACTTTTAGTTTCATGTGTATTTAAAGCTTTTCCACGTACCTGAAAAAAAATCAGTTTATTAATTATTTCAGCAAGTACTCAGTAGACTACTAAAACTAGCGAAAATTAAATAATTAAATAATGTAGATATTTGCGACAGTAGCGAAGAGAAGGTAGTAATATGGGTCGCTAGTTGAGCTAAATACAGTAATAGCAATGAAAACTTTTGTGAAGTACTTGTAACGCTTAAAATATTATTACAAAACTCCCAGCCATTCTCATTAAAGTTCTGTTGACATAATTAACGTCTGTTGTCAGTGTTTAAAGGAAAAGTTTGTGTACACTCCAGTTCAAGAATGATATCAATTTCCCAATTTTCCAATTGTCCAAGTTCCCAATTTTTCAATTTTCAAATTTTCCGATTTCCAAATTTTCCAATTTCCAAATTTCCCAATTATCACATTTTTCAATTTCCAAATTTTCATTTTCCAAGTTTTGCAATTTTCCAATTTCTCATTTTCCAAATTTTCCAATTTCCAAATTTTGTAGTTTTCAAATTTTCCAATTCCCAAATTTTCCATATTCCAAGTTTTCCAATTTTCCAATTTTCCAATTTCCTAATTTTCCAATTACCAAATGATCAATTCTTCAACCATCAAATTTTTAAACTGCCAAAATTATTTTCTTCCAAATCTCGAAATTTACAAATTTTGTATACTTCCATTTCAAATGATTAAACTATTAAATTATGAAATTCCTAAACTCCTACATTAAAATATCCAAATTTTTATGTCTTTAAAGTTTCAAACTAGCACCTTTGTCTCTTAAATTTTTAAGTCATGAATATCATGGTAGCAAATATTTCAACTAACTTACTAAAAATTATTATAAAATCTTTTGTTCATTTGATAAAACGGTATAATAGATTTTCTGCTTGCGATAATCTTCATACGCTGATTAAAAAGGTGTGGAGATAAGAATAACGATAATGGTACTTCGAATCGCTTATCGTTGAAAGAAATTTGCTTACTCTTATTAAAAATATACGTTATATCAAGACGGTTCCATATCATGGCGATATCGACCATACTCGTGATCGTTGTTCGTATCGAATTTATAAACCTTTCGTAGTATCGATTCGAGGCTAAATAAATGTTTCTTTTCCGATTATCTAATCTTATCGTCGATATGCGTATCCCGCAACAGTATCAAATTTATTGTAACAGCTTTAACGCTGACTATACTCTGCACATATTAAAAAAGAAACCGAAAGCAAATTTGAAACTCCTTTGCAAAAATTTAGGTCAATTTGTAAAACAGTTTTATATATTGAAATTGAAAATTATGAAGGTTCTAATATGTAAAACTGAAATATTCAAATTAAAAAATTTCCAAATTCGCAAATTTAAAAATATGGAAATATACTATTCGTCACTGGTATGAATCAATTTTTAGTACAAACTGTACTGCCAGAAGTTAATAAAGATAACTGTGCAATATTGTTGAGGCACCAAATAAATCAACTGGCATATTGACTTCACCAACAGTATTTCGAGTGAGTTGAAACATTTTTATGACGCTTGCACATATGATCGCAAACGACCGTTCATCAATTCAAAATAGTCTCTCCATATGTCAGAGTTCGTAAAATTCAAAACCGTTTCAATATTTTTCATCTTCGATACGAACAAATATACGCAAGCTAATTCCTCGTTCGATTCGCTGAATTCTTTTAAATATACATTTACTGTGAAACAAAACTAATTTGAGCTTTGAGATTTCGAAACTTTTTTGTGATTTGAAACACTCGAAACTTAGATTACAAAATGTATAAAGTTATTTGATAAAGAATCGTTTGAAAGATGCTTCGAGAATATTCGATAGAAACGTCCGAACGCCGCGCCGAACGTAAGCGGAAACGTCCGAAGAGACGAACGTAAACAAACAGTAATATGTCATAATTCTAATGCAAGAATAAAACTTTTTATTATCGATTTTTGTTATTATGGGACTTACCATCATACTTGAGACATTTTCCTGATTAAAATGAGACCAAACACGACGTAATTCGAAATGTATTTACTTGTAATTTTAAACGTTTAGTTTATATCGACACTTTCTTGTAATAAGATTCGCGGTAAACGGACGAGTAATGACAAGTCGGCAAACTTCGTTGCCCTTCGGTGCTATTCGGATAACCACGTGATACGACAGTCGAAATCGTAGACTATGGCCGATATGTCTGGTTGAAGAAGCGAATATTAACACGATATTGTTAATTGAAAAGTGCATATTGACACAATATACTAATCAATATATATACTGTCAATACACTAATTTAACACTAAGGTTAGATAATTTAACACTTTATGTCAAATCGATGTGTTGATTCTTAAAACAGGATCTGCAAAACAAAATACTACTTCAAGCTTCGTATCAAAATTTTTTGAAGTTTATGATTCGAGTTTCGAGAATTGAAAAATTCTGTTCAAACCCATTCCTACAATTTAAAAAGCAGAGAAAAGTGCGGAGTAGAAGCACGGGAAAAGAGAGAAATTTTCGCGTAACATTTTCGGTCTGATGCTCTAGCAAGTGGATAAAAAAGGCAAAAGAAACTGTTGGCTAGTTGCCTGACCTGCTTGGACAGCGCAGCGTATCGAATCGCGGGACAACTTAAAGGGACGAGAAATTGAAATGTCTCCGAGATAGGGCCACAACGTGGAACCAGGTAATCGTTCGCAGAAAGGAAAAGAAAAAAGGAAGCAAAAAGAATTCAACTGTTTGAGGCTACAAAGAGGCTGCTCTCGTTAAAGCTGAACCAAGCCGTCCATATGTGCCTCGCCCCGTGGCTTTTTTGGGAAGGTGAACTTTCTGATCGTTTTCATCCTTCGGCCGATAAACTGGTTTTAACTCGTTTCAAAGTTCATGGTCGAGAGTGTCCTTTGAAGCACATGGAAAGCTGCGGGCAATCGCGATTACACTCGACGATTTATCTTGCCATCGAAAATGCGGTGTTATTGAAAGTCCCCTCTCTCAAGATCAATTAGTCGATCGAATATTTTGATCTGTCACTATCGGAAAGATCTCGAGCCATACAACTCTGTGGGAAGTTCCTATCTGCTTTTTATTACGCTGATGAAAATTAACTGATGTTGTTAAGATGTCAAGCTTTTATTAAATTCACAGGTTCTCAAACTTTTTAATTTCTAAATTCCAAATGTTAAAATCATAAAATTGCAAATTTTTATGTTATTAAATTAACAATTTTTAAATTTTATCATTTTCAAATTTTTGAACAGCAAATTTCAATTTACAAATTTAATGGAATGTTCAGGTTCCAAAATTCCCCAATTTTTAAATATTATAATTTCCAAATTTGTAAATCAGCAAATTTCATATTTAACTTCATACGCAGCTTAAATGTAAATTTCAAAATTTATCAATTAAAAATTATCAAGATTTCCTCCTAAATTAAATTAAAGCAAATTAAAATTAAATTTAAACTAAATTTTGATTAAAGTAAATTACAAATTAAATTAAATGAGAATTAAAATTAAACTAAATTTGAATTAAAGTAAATTTTAGATTAAATTACATTGAATTAAATTTAAAAAAATATTATGTGAGTACATGTATTATTATCTACTCATTCAATACTCAAAAATGAAAAATTATGTAAGTCCACAAGTTACACAATAATCTTAATCAAATAATATTTTCAGGTGCCCCTTATCTGAGACTGCTTTTATTAGCATGACCGTATACTACCAAAGAACATGGCATGTGAGAAAAATCTGCATCCGGAGGATATTTGTTGAATCACACAGCTTAAATGTGTCAAGCTGGGAAAAAAATTGGATCGGTTTTTCAGAGTCAGGATCATCGACCCAAGAACAACAGAAAGGACTACCCGTGGCTAAGATAGAGATATGAGTTATATACGCATACGAAGCGTCCATAATTTATTTTATCCTAACATGGTCCACAAGAGGGATGAGCTGTTGGTTCAGAATCAAAAATAAATTCAATGCTAAGACAGTTCAATTTAAAGTTACTAATAGAATGCAAAATTACTAAAAGGTATATGATATATGAGTATTAAAAAAGTTACAGCTGTTTACAGTAACATATTTTTTATTTTTTTCAGGTTGGAAATTTGAATATTTGGATTTTTGGATATTTAAGCATTTAAGATAAACATTTTTAGATAAATGGATATTAAGAAAAAAATTAAAAATGTACTTTGGACAACGACAAAGTTTGTGAATATTTATGTATGTAAATTTGTAAGTTGGTACTTCTGCATCTTGGTTGGAAAGTTTAATATTTTCAAATTCCTCAGACATTATATTTGCTAATATTTAGTAAGACTTTAGTGGTAACGAAACGTCAAATACTTGTATTAAATACAATATAATTTATATTAAGAAATAATAACATTGCAATAATAGTACATATTCTATCAATTAACAAAATATGGAATTTCTTTGAACATAACTTAAGTAGCCACTTTTGCATAGCCCTGTAAGTCTCAACAATACTTGCAAACTATTCAATTTACTTTTAAGTACAGGTTTATGTTATAAAATAATAACCTTGCAAAAGTACCTATCTCTTAATAAACAAAATTAATACTTCTTTGAATATAACTTAGGCAGCCACTTTCGTATAATCCTGTAGCAATACTCGCAAACACCTACCTGCCCAGATAAGGTCCCCAGCGACCAACATAATCGAACATTACAACACGCCCATTTCACCATAAAAATGATATCCAAAGAAAAAGAAGAGGTCAATACTTGGTATCAATTTCAGAATCCAGAAATTCAACTATCCCCACATAGCAGATAAGGCATATCCCGTCCGCATTACCTGAAGCGACATTTATGCATAATAATCACGAGACTTCACGACATTGCGTGTAAACGTTCTATTTATATGCGCCACTAATTCGCAGCAAACATCGGCGAAGTATTCACGAGAGAAGCAGGAGGAGAACACGAACAGAGAGGAGAGATAAAATGATGGCAGACCAACGGAGGTAGCAAAGCGAAGAGAAA